AATTAAGTTTCTCTAAGTAGTTATTTATTTCAAGAACTAGTACTTGTATTATCCACAGTCTCTATGACGACCCCAGCGCCATCAGTTGGTTCTAAACCCCATGGTTAAAAATCACACGACCAAAGGTTGGGATGAGATATCTCCCGAGTAGGCACGAGAATGAGATTAAGGGCACCCGTACATTGAATATACTTTCTGATTTCTCACGAGAATGTTGGAAGTGCTGTATTGCCATTTTTTGTTTCCTAATGTTATATTTTTCTTTCCGTCTCAGTTCCACTGCAGCACCTAATACTTCATCGGTTTAATTTCTTATTATTACTATTCATGTGTGTGTCCCGTTTATTTGTTGTTATAGCATCCCTACAATAACGCCCCAAAAGACGCCGCAAGCACCGACTAATTAAAATAAATAAAGCTAAGATCCACTCTTTATTTTATGTAAAAATACACCACTCATTGGCTGCCCCGCATTTTCACTTGGTACTCTAACAACACAACCTTGCCATTTGGTTACGACGGTTGCAATTTAAACCATCAAGGTATCATCATACCTGTGGGGCAAACATGTTTGTTTAACTTTGCAATCGATCAGACACACCGTCCTTCTTTTTCTTTCTTTTTTTCTTTTCCTTTTCCACCGACGCGAAGCTCCTGTTGCGCATTAATCCCGTCAAGCCTTCTCAATGTTGCGCAATGTCGGTATTGCATGACTCTCGGCGAGACCGGGTCTTGCGAGTTACGAACGATGAGGTAATGCTACGCAGATAAATGTTTGTCGCAAAACATGCAAACGCCGCAACTCTTTGGCTTGTTCTTTCTTTTTGTTTTTTCATTGATGGTTATTAGAAGGACAAGTAAATATGGCTGGGAGTTTCTTTGGTGTTTGCAATACGCACGATTACACTACGTACGTCGTTCTTTTTTTTTTTCATTGGTGGCCATTATGAAGAGGAGTAAATATGACTGGTGTGTCTTTGGTGAAAGCAACATGCTAAAATTATGCCAAGTACGTTCGTTTTTGCTTTGACGGCCATTAAAGAGGCGAGTAAATAGGACTTGGAGTTTCTTTGGATAAAGCAATATATGGTAGAACTTAACTACCAACATATTTTTTTCGTTTTTTTTTTTATTATTAACAGCTATAACGAAGACGAAAAGATATGACTAAGGGCGTCTTCGATGAAAGCATCATACTAAGAATCTGCTACGTCTATTTTTTGCATTCATGACCAGTATAAACCATCACACAATTTGGTTTGGAGTTAATTTTTATGAAACAGAACAATGCGCTCAAACAATACGTCGAGTACACTTCAATGCACTTTGAATACTTGAAGTATGGAATTAATATAATATTACTCTTTGTTTATAATGGTTTACTCGAGTAAATATCATACAGCTCCTGCCAGTCTGATTGCTAAAGTGTGCTCCGAAACTATATATTCACTATATTAGTAGGAAACGAAAATATACTTGAAGCCGATATTTGAAAATATGCTGTTTTTTTTATATATATATGTAAAAAAAGAAATCCGCATGGCTTTCACTGCACCCAAATATGATACCAAGAATGGTACTCACATCAGAGAGAAAGAAACCGTCAGTGAATTGTAGTTTGATCTTGTATATCAACTGCGTTTTTTATAAACAAGCTCAATTGAGCGCTGCGCATGTAAGAGAATCTGTAGTTCGGAAATATGGAAATCAGGAATTGAACTCTCTTTTCTTTACGTTGCTTCTAACATTTGAATATTAACAATAATAATAATATTTGTCATAATAATAATAATAATAATAATAATAATCAATCAATCAATCAATCTTTATTATACAGTGCCCAGGAACAACCCTGAGGTCTTGGTGCTGGTACACTGGTGGATAAAAAAAACAAAAAACAAAAAAAAAACACACTATACACATCTCCGCAGAAAATAAGATACATTTTTAGCATAATACTAGGCAGTGCACGAGTAATTAGTACAATGAAATAAAAACGAGGCAGTAACAGTAGAGACGGAACACAAGACCGAAGGACAACAACTGCACCACCAGAAAACACGACATGGAGATGACGACATTCAGACATAACAAAGCAATTCAGCAATGCTCATCCTGCACGGGCAAGTTTTTAATAGAAAGGACAAACGTCCTGTAGCAAGGGTTGAAAATATCAAGTTTTTCAGAGTAATGATTCAAACGCTGAGCCATCCTCACAATTGGGTTTACCGGACTAAACGTTCTAGAAACATAAAAAGATGACAGAAGACGAGTAGGCACACGTGGGACCCTAAGGCACAGTTCAGATGACAGGATCGGAGAATTGATGAGTCCATGCAGCGTTTTAAACAAAAATAGTAAGTCCGCGTTCTCCCGACGCCGGTGCAAGCTAAGCAAACCAACACGCTCTAACGCAGACTCATATGTTAAACAGTGAACATCCTCCTTTATGTAGCGATGTTTAAAGATAGAAACAAACTTTTTTGGCACACGTTCGATCTCCAAGGAGTGACTTTTAGAAATTCCATTCCAAACAACTGGGGCATATTCTAACTGTGACCTGGATAGCGAGCAGTATAACGTGATAAAAGCCGTCGGGTTTTTGAACTCCCTGGTTAAGCGAGAGGCAACACCCAACATTCGCAAAGACGAGTTAACCAGTTTACCAACGTGATCAGAGAAACGCAACCCAGAATCAACCATGACTCCGAGATAATAATAATAATAATAATAATAATAATAATAATAATAAATTTATTAAACGTGCTTAAAGTATTATTTCGGGTCCGTCAAAGTCCTAAAGACTTGTAGGACTGCGATCCCACCAAAAAGACTAAAAAAAGCACACGTAAGCAAAGAAGCTCAAGAGAGTGAGCGACGAGACAAGGTATAAATATCCTGCAAGACGATTTGTAGAAACTCATTACAAAATGCCTTGCAGGTTTACGCTATTATCCTATGGACGAACAATAGTCTTCAGTTTTCTTTTTAACTTTTTACGATAAGTAATGTCTGCACAGGTGGGATGTTAAAGGTGTGTGGAACATAAAAGCCCCGAATGCATGTCCCAAAATGAGTGTTGAATCGCGGCGTGGCATATGGTGCCACTTTTCGAAGCTCCGAATAATGATATTAATATTATTAATAGATAATAAGGATTATAATATTAATTATTAATAATAATAATACTCTTTATTGGATCAGGAGAGCCGCGGCACCGCAGAAGGGTAACACCCCGTACAACGGAACATCCCGTACAACGGAGGCGTTAGGCCTATCAGCGGTCTTCGCGATGGGGGTCTACGCGGGGCCGGCATGAGCTGCTGACTTCTAGCAGGCCGGTCTCGAGCGCCTACCGAGGGCACCGTGCGTGCCCGGATTGCAGACGAGCCGGTCGAATTTGCGGCGACGCAGGGAGTCCAGCACCCCCGTGGTGGGGCTTCAGATGTTGGCGCCGGTGTTGGCCGGGCTACGGTCTTTACGAAAGCAGGCCTTGAAGTCTCCCAGCTTGCCGTCTAGCTTGTGACCGAGCAGCATGGACGCCCTGTCGATCGAATACTTGGTGTGTCCCATTGGTCGGACTACCTCTCTGACGATGGAAAAGACACGTTTTACGCCCAGCACATTTTTGTATTTTTAACCATTCGTTCAATGTACTGCAAAAACAGATTTTTTTTTACAGGATGAAAGTTAGGAGTTAATGACCTAAAATCAAATAAAAATTAATTTTAAATACAATCAACGCTTACGAGATAAGAATGGGCAATAAGAAACAATTTCTTATAAAGCAATAATTTGGACGAACACTATACGTAACTAAATATAAAATCCAGTCTCTCCTGATTTAGTTTAAAATCACTGAGATAAATCCAAGAAACAATCGCAGCACTCCTATAAGGTTGGCTGCTCAGCAAGACTAGAAAACAAAACAAGACGTTATGTAACGTTGCTCTTCTTACAAGTAAAACAGTGTGGTACTCAGAGCAAATTAACTCTTTCCATCTTGGCAGCGACAACTATTCGAGTTCTACTGGGTATCTTCAAGCTTGGCAAAACGTGGTACATACTGCAAGAAGGTATGGATGGTACCAGCACCCTTGTTGATGGCATAATTTTTTGCATAAAACATACGCATGCCTTTGTCAGAAGGACTCAGGAAGTATTTAGAAAGTTGTCTTTTTGAACATTTATACAAAATAGCACTCGAAGAGTGCTTTATTGTAATATATTAGTACCAGTTTTATGGTGGCTTTATTTTTGTAAACAATTATGCAAATATATGTTATGCTAGAAGTGTCGTAACGGCTAATGCGTTTCACTTATATAAACGAACATTTTGATCAAGTGTCCAAAACATTCCAGGCATTGAGAAGAAATCACCCACGAAAACGTTAGAGCCCTATCGAGAACACAAGCATACTGTTACATCAAAGGAAGTTAGGTCAAGTACCCCTTCCTATTTGGTACGTGTATGCATACGTCATCAAAATAAATACAAAAACATATCCGGCCTTTTATGGTTTCTCCGTGATGCAGAGATAGCATGTGGCCTTTCGAGATTAAATAGCGTTTTATCCAGGCAAACGCGCACACATTGTGGTGTTGAAAAAAAATGTGCAATCTCTTGCTGGCAATATCTAGAGATCTGGGTGATTATAGCGCTTCAGTCTTGGTATATTTGACACGCTGAACTTAGCGGCCCTTTTCGCAGTAGGGGATTCGTAAACACCAGTATAACCAAGCATTCGCGTCAACGTAGCCCAACGCAACCCTCTCTTAAGGCTTGCGCAACATGCCATGCAAGAAAACAGATGACAAATAAAGATTGACCAACATATCACCTGTTCCCTCAAGTTTTCCAGCTAGGTCCTTTATCGTCTTTGTATACTTTTTTGTTCTTTTCTCATAGAACGATTCGCAACCCGGTATTTCCCTTGCAAGAAGGGAGCAATTTCGTTGTGCTCCGGTGCTCACGACGGCTTGAATTCTTCTTGTTTTTTTGTTTTTTTTCGCTAGTGCGCTTCGACTGGCTATCGTCTCTTTGACGTCACACCTTCCAGCACGCTCAAATACAAATATATATGTTTAGGTCCGTCAGTTTGTAATCTCGCATCGTTCCAACCGGAACCCACGACAGCAATGACGCCACCACAAGTCGCTTTCTTCTGCGTTCTGCTGGCTGCCCACAGCACAGGTATCTCAGTCTTTGACTTCAACGACAACCCGCGCGTTTCAACTGAGAACTGTGATCCCGACGCCAAATCTCAAGACATCGGTGACCGGGCAACCTGCACCTTCACCACGCACGTGGACGTGGACTCGACGAGGATTCCTCCGGAGATAGCAAGCGTCAAGTGCAACTGCCGCGACAGCCTGTGCAGCAAACTCGGAGACTTCCGGTGCCAGGAAGTGACGGAGACCATCAAAGTCGCCTTCGTCAACGAGACGTCATCGGTAGTGCGACAACGAAGCAAGGTGACCGTGGCCTGCGTCTGTGCCATCAACCGAAGTGCAGGAGCACTTCGAGGCTTGAAAAGAACTGGACAAGTTGTGCACTCATTTGGTTGAAGATGGAATGGTGTGAAATGTAACACTGTCATTGAACCATTCCATTAAATAATAAATCTAGAATGTGCGAATAGTGGTTCACATTGAATAGTTCTGCTTCATTCAAAGTGTTCACAGCGCAAGGCAAAGCCACCGCAGCTGGTTTTCTTAATAGTGTTAAGTTTAGGCACTACACTACGCTGTTCTATTCTAACCACAATTTGCTCACTTTACCGATTTTAGATTAAAAGGTAAATATTTCTAGTATCTCTTATGAACAATTAATATTCCTATTAATTTCGTAGAGGTCACATTTTTCGACGATCAGTGTAATACCCGTGCCACACGGGCAACTTGAATGCCATTTACAACGTATGACATTTGCGTGATCGACGAATCAGCTCGCAATCTGTCGCGCGTGGAATGCGCCACGCCCGGAGTGTCGCGCGCTGATTGGCCGTCCGCCCAAATGTCATTTGTTGTAAACAGCATTCGAGTTGCCCGTGGTATTAGTCTAGTGGTCTGTTAGTGGCACACAAAAAGTATGTGCATAAGGTAAAAAGTAAACGTCTTCAAATAATGCCTTTGCCTCGACCATGTGATAACTTGTGAAAATTATGGTGGAAATTAAAATTTTGCTCTAATCTGCTTTTTATGCTACCCATCTTCCTATTTTACCTATTTTATTATCATATAATTCGACGATTATGTCCCTCGTCTGCGACGCTTGCCAAAAAGGCATTTTGCCAGATGGTCGACTGAGACATGCTCAGTTTGCGAGCATAACTGTCATCTGGGGAAAATGTGCTCAGGCATTGCCGAGTCCACGTTTACTGCCATGAGCCCCGACAAAAAAGAAAAATGGAGATGTAAAGTTTGCCGTTCTAAGAACAATCGTGCTGATCTAGACGGGGTAGATGCTAGCTCTGCCTCGATTTCGTCCTGCGAATCCACGACACTCGCGGCGCAAATTCTGACCATCAACGAAAAGCTAGATTCATTACTTTCTCTGAAGGCTAGTGTAAATTTACTTCTCGAGCTTCCCGCAAAGGTGAATGAGCTTTTGCTCCTCAAGCCTACCATAGATTTTATGAAAGTGACGGTGGAGGAGGTTCAAACATCCATTTCTTTCCTTGGAACGAAATACGATAGCCTCCTCGCCACGGTGTCTGCTCATGCGACCGACATGAACGAGCTGCGTACGGAAGTGACTTCTCTGAAGGACACGGTTTGCGAACAGGCACATACTATCCAAAGCCTCCAGACCGAGCTGAACGACGCTGACCAACGCGGTCGCCAACATATTATGGAAATTCATGGAATGACCGTCAAACCCGACGAGGCGCTCCCTTCCATCTTAGCGGGGCTGGCAGACAAGCTAGGAATTCCGGGACATCAACCAGCTGATGTCGTCTCGGTCTTCAGGCTACCAGGCAAACGAGCTATAAAACCACCTATTTTGGTCAAGTTTACATCTGTAGCCACTAAAGACAAATGGATGCAAGCTCGTACTAAGCTCAGGCAATTGTCTCGTGACAATCCACCCGAAAGACTGTATTTCAACGACAGCTTAACTCAGACCAACAGAGAACTTTTCTGGCAAGCACGTGCTCTTGGAAAAGAACGCGGTTACAAATTTGTGTGGGTCAAAAATGCTCAAATTTTTGCCAGAAAAGATGAGGGCGCTTCTCCGGTACGGATTCAACAGAGAAGTGACCTGGACCTAATCACATAACCAACATGGCTAGTTTTTTGCAGTACCCCGATTTTATTGCGTTTAATAGTTCGTTCTCCTCTTCTTCAACCGACTCTTTCATGGTCTTACACATAAACATTCGCAGTATTCAAAAATACTGGCATGAATTTAAGACAGTTATTGATCAAATAAGGGACCAAATTGATGCAATTGTGCTAACAGAAATTAATGTCAGTGCCGATCATCTGTCACAGTTTACGATTTTAGGGTTTCAAAATTTCTTTTATACACGGCCAATTACTCGAGGAGGAGGAATCGGCGTATTTATAAGGAACTCATGGTCAACAACTAAAACTGATGCCAAATTTCAACACTCAGAGAGCTTGATGCTAAAGGTTTCTAATTCTAACTATATGGTTTGCTTGCTTGCACTTTACAGACCTCCTTCGTCTAACTGCTCTGGCTTTTTAGAGGAGCTGAGGGAAAATTTGGAAGAATTGTCTACTGAAGCACATTTATGTGTGGTGGGAGATATCAACATTGACACCCTCAAAACTTAAAAAAAAATGTGTTTGTGATTATTTATCACCACTTGCAGAGCATGGAATCATACCTACCGTTCAGAGTGCGACCCGTGAAGAAGTATTAAATGAAAATATTGTATCATCCTGCGTAGATCATATAAACGTCCGAGCTCCAGATGCTTCCATACACTCCGCTGTCATTTTACAAAAGCTTGCAGATCATTTTTTTGTCGCATGTAAATGTGTTTTTCCCTCCAAAAAAGGTTATAATTTCGAGAGTCCGTGCCGTTTAGAGCGGGTTGACTTAAACTCTTTTGATCGATTAATTAAAGAATATGATTGGAATGAATTCCTATCCTCGGTTAACAGCACAAACTTGTACACAGTGTTTGTGGACATCATTAGAAATTTTCGGGAGTTATCGATGACCGTTATATATGTTAAAAAACGTAAACCCTCACTGCCTTGGCTTACTTCAGATATTATTAACAGTATAACGCAGAAAGAACAATTGTGGAAGAAGTTTCGGCGCTCTCCCAACAATGCCAATCTTAAAATAGAATGTAAAATACAAAGAAATAGGGTGAATGCCCTTATTCGATCAGCAAAAAGAAAATATTATGCTAAAAGGATTGCAAACGCACGTGCTGATTCCAGAAAAACTTGGTCAATTGTCAATGAGCTTCGTGGACATGAAAAAAAGGACTCGACTGATACATTGCAAAAACATTTCGGGTCGGACTTGACCTCTATTGTTAATGCCTTTAATGTGTTCTTCGCGAATTCAGTCGCACTCTCGGTAGACAGTGATGAGGATCCTGCAGACGGCACTTCATCTATCTCCGATTCCGCTTTTCTTCCACCTCTCTCAGAGCCAGAACTGCGGTCATACCTATTTGCCTTCAAGCACTTTAGGTCGGCCGGTGTCGATGGAATAACAGTGCGTGACTTATGCCGAAATTATGAATCTTTGAAGAATGTTCTCCTCGTGATGATAAATAACTTTCTCGAAACTGGAGAAATTCCAAACGACTTAAAGCAAGCCATGGTTATTCCACTCTTTAAGGGTGGAGTACCAAACCATGTTTCATCCTACAGGCCTATCTCTATATTGTCCTGCATCTCACAAATCTTGGAGAAACATATATTTATTGCTATGTCTGGGTTTCTTGAGAAATATAGTATAATTTCGCCACATCAATACGGTTTCGTCACTGGTCGTGGTACCATTAATCTTCTTGAAGAATTTTCGGACATTCTACACTCTTCCTTTGACAATAACATGTTTGTGTGCGCGCTCTTTATCGACGTTGCCAAGGCGTTCGATTCCGTAAACCATAATATCCTCTTAGACAAGCTCTGCAGAGTGGGCTTTCGTGGCCCATTTCATGCATTGTTAAAAAGTTTTCTAATAAATCGTACCCAAGTTGTTTCAGTTGGTAACGTACACAGCTCCCTCGCTTTCCTAACTTCCGGAGTTCCACAAGGCTCTATTTTGTCTCCATTATTTTTTAACATCTACGTAAATGATATTTCAACGTCAATCACAACTTCTAAAGTATTTCAATATGCCGATGACACCCTTATACTTTCTCGACATCTAGTGTACGAGCGCGCAATTGAAATGCTTCAGATCGATGTCGCTAAAATAATGGACTGGTTTTTTGCCAACAAGCTTCGGGTAAACGCTTCAAAAACGAAGCTGGTGTGCTTTCATAGCCCTTTAAAAAATATAAGCTTGACTTCTCAGCTATTTCTCCACTACACCAATTGCTCATGCTCTAGCTGTACACCAGTTGAATATGTTAGCTCCGTAAAGTATTTAGGTCTTCACTTCGACAGTGATCTCTCATGGAACTCTCACATGTCATATATATGCCAACGATTAAGAACTGTCTCATGTCTGCTTTACAATATCAAATCGTTTCTACCTTTGTCAATTAGAAAGAGCATTATGCACGCGTTAGCCTATAGTACACTAAGGTATGGCATAAGCGTATTTTTTAACTGTCCCCTCTTTTGGCACTCAAGGATTGATCGCACGTTAAAGGGAATTCTGAAGAGTGTAGCATACAACACACACATGTCATCTAGTACGAGCTTGTTTGCTTCACTTAAGCTACCGTGTTTTCATTCACTCTTTCTTCAAACAGTAATTTGGCGACACTTCTGGGATAGTGAGTTTAAGGTCTCGGCCAGTCCATCTCGCGAGCTTAGATCTGTTCTGCGTTTTCAATCTCCTCGAGTGAGAACTCACTATGGCGAAAGCATGCGTTCCTTTTATGTGCCAAAGGTTTTTAACGACGTTTCAGCTGCTCTGCTTGCCATTACCTCAAAAAAAAAATGCTGAAGACCTCTCTCAGAAACATGTTCGCCGATGTGGCTAGATAGTGACGTTTTCCCATTTTATTTTCCTTTTCTTTTGTAGTACGGTCCTGTACGTGCTTTTTGTGGTAATCGCTGGACATGTCAAATGACGACTGCATTTATTGCGTGAAGTTTTTTTTCTCTTCGACCCGTTGACTGAATGATTTTCTTTCTAGTAATAAGTGTTTTTTTTTTTTTTTCTCTTACTGAACATGTGAAATATTTGAGAGAAAGACTCATGAATTCAAGGACTGTGTCTTCGAATGTACTCTTACAGTGTTTAAAAATACTCATGCCTGAGTGTTTTCTTTTTATTTTTATCACTTTAATGATTGTAATTGACACAGGGATCAAGACAACGTTTGCTATAGTTTCATCTTCACAGCTTCACCCAAGTCACTGACACAAGCATTCCGACTACATCCTGTCAAGTGAATCATCTGTATGTTATTTGCTTTTTTTTCCTGCACGTGATGTTATTCCGTGCGAACTTCCTTTTTTGTATTTTCCAGTGAAGGGTCTGGTCCCACAAGTCCCTGATGGCTTTGATCGGACCCGATACTCAACTGGCTATACCTGCACTACTGAATACATTTTATTATTATTATTATTATTATTATTATCGTATCATTTTCTTTTGCGACGGGCATAAATCCCAAAAATGATAATTTGTTTGAAGTTTAAAATATAACAAAAAATAGATAGCACTTTTAATGCGGAAAACAGAAACCCGAACCTCACTATAATAATATTTTAATTCTTCGATTATTTCCGAAAAGTTAGTTGATCGGCGAATCCAGTTATCAATGTCCCTTGCACATCAGTGAGTGCATCAGGCGGTACATCCCTGTCTAAAGAGGATGGACCCAAACTATGCGGCGAGATTCTTCGTGACAGCCTAGCAATGTTCTATTCAACCAAGAATGGGTTTACAAAGTACAATGATCACTTCAGGGTACAAAAAATATACAACAACAAGAAAACAGAAGAAAAAGCATAATCAACAAATTGCAGAAAAGTATTCTATTATGGCTGCCTTGAAAGCAGAAACATCTTCAATAGCGGCGATGTGTGGGGGAAGGTGGTTCCACTCTGAACAAGTCTTTGGCAAGAAAGAATCAAAAAAGATGTTAGTGCTGCAATGAGGTATGGCAACCTTGTATTGGTGATCAACCCGGGATGAAAGGTATGAAGGCTGTAAAAAGAGTTCCTGTTTGAGCGCTGGGTTATGAAAATATATTTTATGAAAAAGAGAAAGACGCGCAATTTTTTCTTCGAAGTATTAGTTCAGTAATACCAGCATTAGACTTCATTAGTGACACGCTAGCAAGGCGGTAATAATTAGAGTTAATAAAACGGGCTGATCGATTCTGAACAGATTCAATGTCATCAATAAGATAACGTTGTGCTGGATCCCATATCGCAGAAGCATATTCGAGCTTTGGGCGGATGAGTGTACGGTAAAAAAGAACTTTAAGAGAAAAAGGGGCTTGAGGAAAATTTCGACGTAAGTAGCCGAGGGTGCGATTAGAATCATTAATAACATAGTTAACGTGGGTTTGCCATGAGAAGTCATTAGTTATGTGGACTCCAAGGTACTTGTACGATTTGACGTATTCAAGGGAAATATCGTTAATCTTGTAATCATATGATACGGAGGGGTTAGGGTGCCGTGAGAATGTCATGCTTTTACATTTTTTAATGTTGAGGGTCATCAGCCATATATTACACCAGTTAGAGATGTGATCGAGGTCAGATTGGAGAATAGATTGATCGGATAGGTCATTTATTTGACTGTAAAGAAGGCAGTCGTCAGCGAATAACTTTATAGAGGACTGAATACAGTTAGGAAGGTCATTAATATATATTAGGAAGAGCAAAGGGCCTAAAACGGAACCTTGAGGAACACCAGATTTTACCAAAGAAGGAGATGAAGTACAATCATTCGCTATTACAAATTGTGTGCGGTTAGTCAAAAAACATTCAATCCATTTTAAGATATTAGAGTCAATATTTAAGGTTGCAATTTTGAGAAGGAGCAAGTGATGTGGAACTTTGTCGAATGCTTTTGCAAAGTCAAGAAAGATACAGTCGAAAAACTGACCACGATCCAGGCCCGACGTTATGTCATTTGTAAAAGAGAGCAGTTGCGTTTCACAGGAATAGTGTCTACGAAAACCGTGCTGGGAGGGGTTAAAAAATGAATTTGATTCTAGAAATGATACGAGGTTTGAATAGATTACATGTTCCAAAAGTTTACATGGAATACTTGTTATCGAAATTGGTCTGTAATTAAGAACGGACTGTGCATTGCCAGACTTGAAAAGAGGGACCACCTTCGCCACCTTCCAGTCGCGTGGTACCGTCGAACACTCAATAGATTGCGTGAAGATATAAGATAAAATTATAGAGGAGTATACTTCTGTGTTTTTCAAAAACTTTGAGTTGATTTCGTCCACACCACAGGAGGATGAAAGTTTCAACTTGCGAATAAGGTTCGCAATTCCCACAAAATCAAAAACAATAGGATCCATTGGAAAAAAATCACGATTACACAGATGCGCTACAGTACTAGAAGATAAAACTGAAAACGACCCAGCAAAAACATTATTTAACACATTACAACATTCCTCGCTGCGCATTACCTGGCCATCAGAAGCTAGCGATATAGTGCCTTTCTTAGTAGGTTTTACGATCTTCCAAAACTGAGAGGGGTTACAAGATAAGATTGATGGGAGCGTATTGTTAAGAAAGACGCGCTTGGCTTCTTTGATAAGGATACGGTAAGCAGAAAGCGTGTCCCGGTAGGCGGACCATCAAGCGGCATTGTTCGCGATTTTTGCTTGACGGAACAACCTTTTTTTCTTGTTTTGTAGTCTTTTAAGAACTGTAGTAAACCAGGGGGAACGTTGTTTGCCCGAAATTACACGAAGTGGTATATATTTACGAATCAAAGACGCGACTTTGTTTTTGAAAAGATCCCAATTGTGTTCGACAGAGCGAACAAAGAACCCAGGCAAATAGCTTTCAAGAAATAATTCAAGCTGTTTGTTAATTGAAATATAATCTCCCCTTTTGTAATCTCTAATTATTTTCGCACCAGACACTTGTCGAGCAACGTGCCTGGTTATACTGAAATGAATAAAACAGTGGTCACTTAAGCCAGGAAAATATGACAGAGAGTGAACGAGATCTGGCGTTGTCGTAAGGACTAGGTCAAGTACATTAGCTGAAGTAGGATCAGTCCTAGTAGGTTGAGTAACAAGCTGCGTAAAATTGTAGTCCAAACAAACGTTTATAAAAGACAGAGACTCTGCTGACGTTGTAGTGAGAGTTGGGCAGGAACCTGACCAATTTATTTTAGGGAAATTAAAGTCGCCCATTAAAAATAAAGGAGTTGATGGGTACCTTAAAACTAAGCAATTTAGAATGACATGTAGCTGATTAGAAAAAGTCGATGTTTCGCTCGGGGATCTGTAGCATGCGCAAAACAGTATTTTTTGCTGATTTAACTGAACACAAACGCAAAGAAACTCCAAAGGGGTGCTGAGCATAACAATACTAGAAATTATATCAGTCGCTACAGCAATAAGCACACCGCCACCTGTTTTAACATCGCGGTCAGATCGGTAAATAGCATAATTTCTTTCACACTCAAAAAGTTCAGAATCTTCTATTTTTGCAGAAAGCCAAGTTTCCGTCAGAACAACAACGTCAGCCGAGCAGTCATCAAGGACAGATGACAAAGCATCACGTTTATTAACCATGCTTCTGACATTAGACAACAAAACAGATAAATCACGACAGCCAGTATTACCGCGCGCTATTCTTGCTAAGATAATGACCTGTCAGCGTCAGCACTCGTAGAAGCAGACTGGGCTACTGCTGGGGACGTGTTATTGCTTGTACGGCCTAGTTCACACACGCAGTCCGTATCAGGCGAATAGACATAGCATTTTTTGTTTATGTATAGTTTGTTGTAACGAATCGAAAACTGGTGGCCACTTTCTTTTCCAAATTCATACAATTTCTTTCGCACGGTTCTCGTCGCCATGCAAAAATCTTCATTGACGAACACCCCAGAGGCCTTAAGCGTCTTCCTCGATGCTAGAATTTCGTCTCGGAACTTAAACGACAAAAAGCGAGCTATAACCGGCCTGCACTTCCCGGGGACGAAACTGCCCAGCTTGTGGGCACGAGATATGCGGTCATCAGTCCTACCGAGATCTAACTTTAGTGCGACGTTCAGAGCTGCGCAAAGCTTTTCTTCAGACTGAGTCCATGTTTCAGTAGAGCTGTCAGGAATACCGTGAAAAATTAAATTATCTCGACGCGAACGATCTTCAAAATCGTCGAGGCGTTGGTTCAAGACTGTTACTTGAGGGTTACGACTCTCTCCCGTCTGCCCTTCAGACAACCCGATGCTCTTTTCGACCGCGCAAAGTCTATTGTCAATCTCAAAGATCTGTTGCTCTAGTGAAAGTTGGGCCTGTTTTACCTCGGCAAGGGAAGCCATGACTTCTTCGTGCTTTGTATCCATTTTGGCGTGAAGTGATCTTATTAAGGAAACCAACTCATTGTATTGCTTTCCAATGTCTTCTTTTGGGGGCCCGGGGTTTAGTTCTACATCTCCAGACATAAACAATAGCCTCATAACATGCACATAGTCACAAATCAAAGAAAACAAAGCTTTTGGGCATGGAAGTAGCAGCACGTAAACGTCTTTTGATTTTTTGCAAAACCGATAAGTTTCTGAACTCACCTGCACAATGAAACGGAAGGGTGTTTGATGTTGCTGCATTGTCGCTGTACTTCCATGCCCACTGAAGGGACGCACGGACCGCCAACTGCTTATGAAGCGTTCTGGCGATGCGTCAGTCGATGCTGATGCCTGTTGTGTGGCGAGTACAGAAAAGCCTTGCTCGAAGAAAGGTAGTGGCGCCGGACAACGTAGGTCTGCTGCAGGTGGCATCCGGCAGCCGTCGGTCTTTTCTTGTGATTGCCGTGGCAGTAGCAGTTGCAGAGTCACGGTGCCGGAAAATTGGCTGCAGCACCCGGCGAAGATGGTCAAAATCTGCACAATGAAACGGAAGGGTGTTTGATGTTGCTGCATTTTCGCTGTACTTCCATGCCCAAATAGAAACGCTTGTACCAGAAAAACACATGAAACTACACTTAATGTCATGGTGGAACTGCTAAGACAAGACAAATAAAATAACAAACAACCCGACACAAACTCTCAAACACAGCCGGGTTGATTCCCACGATAACGGCAATAGATACCCCCCTCACACACACACACACACGCACACACACACACACACGCGCACACACCGAAGCAAAAGACATGCCGACGCAAAGACTTGGCCGAACCGGCCTAGAAAAACTAAAGGCTGGATCAGATATGAACGCTTGGGTGTGATAGACTCCATTATGACTGCTAACCACTGCTTCCGACGACATGGTTGCAATGGCAAGCGAGATCCTTGCAGCACATCGTAAGGAATACTAACGTAGTTGGTCAAATTCAAATGCAAGTTCTTAGCCGTGTGCTCTCCAAAGTTAGGCACACCACCGATAACGGATAGCGCCACTGATAACCCAGTAAGAACAAGATATATCATATTCGCCAAGTTTATATGAAGTTCAAGTTTTTTTTTTTTTTTTTTTTTTGAGGTATGAACTGTCATTATGTTATATATGTCGTTTCACCCTGCCACGGCCCGCGGTCCAGTAGTATGTATAAATAAATGAATAAATAAATAAATAAATAAATAAAAAGGCGATCGATTGACATGAATGCACGTTGCAGGAGGTTACCTTGTCGAGTCCTCAGTGGTCGTCCGTTCTTGGAAGTTTGTCTAACTTTGGGCGAAGTTTGTCGTTCTGGCCATATTCTTTCACTCCTTGGCGACGGTTTCTCAATTTCGTTATTATTTTTTTTTGATGGGTATTTACCGCCGTTTTCTTGATAATAATATCAGCGGTTTTCACTACTTGAAACTATGTTATTCGTTACTTTGTTTTTCGATCGGGGATTACATGGGGATATTTCTAAACCAACTGGCCTGTAAGCTTGTATTTTTTGCAAGCCAAATATATTATCTTGATAAAGCAAGAAAAAAAAATGTCTACGAAGTTATTAATTTCGCTTTTTATTTACCATGCAGTCAGATTGATGAAGTATGTTCTAGCCATATTACCGCTGGCTCAGTTTCTTCTTGTGGTGTGAGCTCCCGGCTTATTCGTCCTTCGCAAATCTGAAGAGAGTTTTAGTTTTGAGAATTAAGGCTTACGGATGTCGCCCTGCCCCCATGATTTTTTTAAAATCCGTTTCATCCATCCATGCCGAAAAATCCGATATAACTTTTCACTATCCGGATTATGGAACCGGAAATTTGTTACTGGAAACCCGAAATCCAGATTGCAGACAAAGGAATTATTTCGGAAAACCTAAATTCCAGATAGATTCCAGATAGATTCCAGATAAATTTCCGGTTCCATAATCCGGATAGCGAAAAGTTATACCGGATTTTTCGGTAGGCAACCAACGGTCAGATATCAGGTTACATGCGCCTGTAGACGGAATTACTGCCTAATAAAATGGCATCTCGAGTGATGTATGCCTACATAGTGTCGAGGACATCGTTTTAAGGACTATAAATATGTTAGGTTACACCAACGACAGATTAATTAATCGGTTTTGATGACAGCGCGTAATTGTCGGCAGGAAATATTTTCGTAAATTTTTCAGATCCCATTATCCCATAACCTCATAAAAACCTCAGCGAGCCTAAACACCCTGCCAGTGACCCTTGTCGTCAGGAAGGGTCACTGGCAGGGTGTTTATGCTCGCGGAGGTTTTTATTTGAACATGACCTGCAAACGCTCAACTACCCAGAACATAATTTGCGGCTCGAAAGTCGTTTTCTTTACCTCGGGAAACAGCCGGTCGAGAATTGGCTGGTCCCAGTCGCGCTCACTCTCTTCCGTGGTCACATGGCGTTCAAAATATGCGTACCAAATCTATTCAAAGTCGTGGGTCATCCAAGGAACACATTCAATATTAAAATTAGAAAAAGAATAGGAACCCCATTTTTGCGGCCTCCAACAAACTGCGAATAAGTTTATTAGCAATGCTTGGATTTGGGCTAGTTGGTTTGACTTTAGAAGGTATGCTGCGCTGAAAACTAACACTGAACACGAAAACACGTAATCTATAGTTGCCGCTAACGTTAAAATTTTTCGCTCGCACATAAACATGTAAACTATAGTTTATATAATTTATGTCTTCAGTGTAACATCGCAGCGCAGAATAGCTCATCATGATGTTGATAAAAAAAAAATGTTGCACAGATCACAGGAAGTATATGTACACGCCATTCTCAGTATGGCGACGACGCGCTGGCGGGGCACGACGAACCAATATTACGACGGACGGGGGGCCGCTGCTTCGGAACTGTCGTTCGTGGTATCGGCCAATGGATCTTCAAGCGCAGAACATCGAGCGGATAGGGATATAAGTGCAAAACAATCGCACGACAAACACCGCACGCAAATTCGTCGTCTGCTTGACACGCCGGAGAAGCGGAGAAGAAAAAACGCGGTCGGTTGTAGCCACGTGACTTCCGGCCATGAGCTTCCGTGCTCTGTCCCAATTTCGGTTTGCAACAGTTTTTTTTTTTTTTTTGGGGGGGGGGTATTAAAAATATAGGAGACTGCTGTACGAAAATATTGATTGGGTAGTCTTTTGACACCATATTAAATAGCCTGGCAAATTTCTTTTTTTAAAATCGGAGAGGGGGGGGGGGGGTAGTATGTCATTAAACACAAGGCCTGGTTTATGAGCTTCATCTCGCTTTGTGATTCGTTCTTCTGTGTTTTATCTGCTAACACGGCAATATCATTGACTACTGGCCAGTAATATTCTCTGGACCCTCCAGACCCTATGCTTTCTTACCTGACAGTGACCGTGGTTTAGGAGCCGTCAAGCCACGACATGGATTTCGTGTTCGCCAAGATTACGATATCATCATTTTGCAGAAATTAGGAATAGTATAGATATAACTTAATTATTCTTAGTTCAAAAAAGCATTATTTAAATATTTCTTGCAAAAAAAAAATTGGCGTGCGTATATTTATACAGCAAGAAGTTAGTCTGACCCAACTGGCGACTTCTCTCTCAGTGTAGATGTGCGATTTTGCCAGTGTGGGACAACTGCTAGCCTGGGGTCTTTAACGTGCATCACGCAATGGGGATAGGCGACCGCTCGCCGGTACGATGCTCATCCAGATCAAAACGGACAGAGGTGGGGATTGTGTCCTTGATTCTTGGGTTCTGCAGCGCGAGATTTCGCTCCACGTGCTCGGAGCTGGTGTGTAAATGAAGAAACAAAATTAAATGTCCTGCATGCCGTTCCCGAAGTGTGCATATTCATCTTCTTTGCTCACTTGAGTTCCAGCTTGTACCGATACAGCACACGCGGTTCTCTAGACATCCTGGTGATGTTAGAGCGTCGCATAAATGTATGGCGTGCGTCCTGAATTTTGTATAGGTTCCTTGTTGTAGAACGAGCTTGGCTCAACTTTTATCCTAAAAAAGAGACGTGGACTGTGAATCGTACTCCCTACCATCACTGACTCGACTCAAGAAATGCAGAAGGTGCCTTGTCATCAACCCGCTTCTTTTTTTCCTGGTTCGCAGTACTGCTTTCTTCTCGACTCATGGGAGGCGATGAGAACGCCGCATGCGGTGCGATTATTGGATGCCTGGGACTTGCCCTGTGTCGTCGTCGAACTGCAGACATTGGATGCTCTCCGTCAAACGCTGTTCCGCTTATCGACGAGATCTAGCCAGATTGATCTATAAAAAGAAACATACAGAAAAGACTCGTTTCATTTACAAACTTACGCGACTTTGACGCCCACGCCCGGGTGTGTTCGACACTTCGAAACAAACAAGTTCCAACCCACCTTGCCGGACTATATTTACAAATTCGAAAATCGTCAGCCTAAGATACAGTGCGGCCGAACCTGTTTCACCGCTCGCGCTATACGCAGACAAGAGAAAACAAAAAATCCGAAATAAACAAATCTCTTTCTTGTCTTTCGCGCCCTTGAGGTTTCCAGAGCTTCTAAATGTTCGGTTGTAAATTTTTCTTTTCTTTCCATACGTAAAACACGATACACCGACCGGTTGGTTTCGTCACGGGAAAGTGGTAATTTCGTTTCGCACCAGTGCTTATATACGGCAGCACTCCTTCTTCTTTCTTTAGACTCCTCTCGCTCCAGCGCTCCTATTGGCTACAGCGGCAGTGACGTAGTGGTATGATCACCCTTCAAATATTTATATCCGACAACAGGTTTTTTCTCGACTCGCGTCTTTCATGCGCAGTCCACAACAGCGATGTCGCGGACACAAGTCGCCTTCTTCGGCGTTCTCCTGGCTGCCTACAGCACAGGTATCTCAGTCTTCGACTTCAACGACCGCCCGCGCGTCTCAACGGAGAACTGTGAACCGGACGCCAAATCTCAAGACATCGGTGACCGGGCAACCTGCACCTTCACCAGGCACGTGGACGTGGACTCGACGAGGATCCCTCCGGAGATAGCAAGCGTCAAGTGCAACTGCCGCGACAGCCTGTGCAGCAAACTCGGAGACTTCCGGTGCCAGGAAGTGACGGAGACCATCAAAGTCGCCTTCGTTAACGAAACGTCATCGGTGGTGAGGCGACAAAGCAAGGAGGTGACCGTGGCCTGCGTCTGTGCCATCAACCGAAGTGCAGGAGCACTTCTAGGCTTGAAAAGAACTGGACAAGTTGGGCACTCCTTCCGTTGAAGCTGGAATGGTATGAAATGTAACAGATCTCATTGAATCATTGCATTAAATAATAAATTTAGGATGTGCGAATAGTGGTTCGCATCGAATAGTTCTGTGTCATTCATAGCCTTCACAACGCAATGCAAAGCCACCACAGCTGGTTTTCTTAATGGTGTTAAGTTTAGGCGCAATACCGCGCTGTTCTATTCTAACAACTATTCGTTCACTTTATAGATTTTAGATTCAAAGTTAAATATTTCTAGTAGCTCCCATTAACAGTAAATATTCCTTGTAATTTTATAGAGGTAACATATTTTTCATCGATAACTCTTAATATTTTGGTCTGTTGGTGACACACAAAGGGTATGTGCAAGAGGTAAAAGGCAAATGTTTTCAAACAATGTCTTTGCCTCGACAATGTGATAACTTGTGGAAATTATGATGGAAAATAAAATTTAACTATTATCTGCTTTTTATGCTATCCATCGTAAGATTTTCTTTTGCGTCAGGCATAAATGCCAAAATGATAAATTGCTTGATGTTTAAAAATTTAGCAAAACCTTAGATAACATTTTTTTTGCACAAAACAGAAATCCGAATAATATCGCAATTATTCGGTTTTTGTCGAAAAGGTGGTTCAGCGGTGTACGCAATATTACATGTACATATAGTAGCTCATCTAACACGGCCGACAAAAGACTATGCTAAAGTAACCGTTGTCATCAATGTTACTTCCACATCAGTGAGTGCATCAGACCGTACATCCCTGTCTAAAGAGGACGGACCCCAAATATGTGTCGAAATTCCTCACGACTACCTAAAAATGTTGAATTCAAGCAAGAAACGTTATTGACTCATGAAATCAGGAGCGCTTGTACTAGAGGAACAGATGAAACTACACTCATTATGTTGGAACTGCTAAGAAACTTTTTGCTATAAAATAACAAAAGCACGACACAAGATCTCAAACACAGTCGGGTTTAAACACGAACTCAACTCTGTGACGTCACGGCGCGGTGGTGGCGCGTCGGTCGCACTTTCGGTCTGGGGCTGTGTGCAGAAGTCCCCATGCCAGACGTGTATTCCTGCGTTGTTTTGAAAGGAACCAGACGAAAACTTGCATTCTCGTCAAAACGTCGCGACTGGGGCCGTACCAAAAGAGTCGAGAAAGGTTCGAAGGTCAGCTTTCACGTGCTCGGTTCGTCCGAGAATTAGGATATGAGCCGTGAAAGGGGAAAAGCAGACACCGTCGGACCACGATTGCTTGGGCGCGAAGACCTTTGGGTTTAATTCAAGGATACTTGAGGTCATCAGATTTATTTGTTTTGTTCCAACATGAACGCCAGAAAACCGTCAGGTTGTAGGGACCACCTGCGGACTACGTTCAGCGCGTCTTGAAGTTCAAGCGGGCGCCTGATTGTTCGAACTGTCGTCTGCTCTTTCAAACGTTTCTGCTTGCCGTCTGCTCTCTTAGACGACGCCGGCCCGTAGACCAAAGGTTGGCCCGGTACTTGCGATAAGAAATAAGTGCAGGCCTCAAAAGACTTAAGTTTGAATTTTGGTAAGCAGGCTCAATGTAAACGGTAGATACAAGGAGATGTTGATCATTGTTACCAGTGGTCATCACCTACTTGTTATGCCTAATTCACTTGGTCCGATTCTACTTGCGACTTTCAGTATCGACGCCGACCCATCTCAGCTTACGGTTCACGCTTTTGCAGCCCGAGCGGCGCCGCGACTGAAATTTGCGAGCGAAATCTCATCGTGCGAATCAGGCTTTAGCGTACATACTGCGGCGTTCACGCGGAATGAATCGCCAGATGTCACATTATTCACGCGAAGTTTTGCGGCGTAACGAGCCTCAGTAATTTCGCTGACGCCGCTTAAATAGTCAGATATTTCCAGGAAGACATAGAACCAACAATTCGAACGCGAAAAAGGCCAGGGGGACTCACACCGACGCCGACAAGATCACTTTTCAATGGTTTGTTTATGGGCGACGGCGAGCTCCTGGCCCACACCCCCATCGCGCATGTGCGGCGCCGGTGACGTCCGCTAGGGGCGCTCCGGTTTGGTTGTGAACATGAGTTGGTGCATACCCAAGATAACGGCAATAGATACCTCACCACACCGAAGCTATATGGACATGCCGACGGAGATACTTGGCTGAACCTGCCTAGAAATTAATGCCACTGTCAGGCGGGCTAGTTTAGTGTCACTACAAGCTAGTGCACTTCGCCTTTAGTGTCATTTCTGTAGTGTGCCACACGGCTCCTTGCTGAGGAACACACTTGGCTTGGAGTGCGTTTGACGAACTCATTTCGCTCGATCGAGTGCGTGGCATCAATAGGAGTGTTTCAACAGTAGAACATAACAACACAGAAACCAAAAGCGTGGAGTAAGTTTTATTTTATAAAGAAAAAGAAATTCGTCAAAGAGACGACATGTAGAAGAGTGGCATTGCAGAAAAATAGTGGGGTGGACTTGGAGTTTAGGCTGATCTGAATCAAGATTTGCGCAGCGGTGAATTGATAAAAGACGACGCCAAAGTCAGTCATTCATGGCTATCTTGGTTAGAAGAGAATGATAGAGCCTACCTTTGTTTCAGCATGTAACTACTCGAGACAACACGATAGTTATGATCTGATTAGGCAGTGTCAGGGCCTCCTCGTAGACTTCAGTGGAACGAAGCGGAACGCCAAAGTTGGATATGCTTCGTATCTTAATTAATGTAACGTAGTGTTAGAGCACAGCTCCTAGGCACCTGTTTCTGAGTTGAGCGGCGCCGGCGCGTTTCCCAAAATGACGTCACACGTGACGTCACGTGTGACGTCACGAGAGTAAAATTTTCCCGCTAAATTTTGCGGTAAAAGTTTTTGCTAAGTTTGGCGAAAAATTTTTTTGCTAAATTTAGAGAAAACATTTTACCCGTGTGACGTCACGTGACGTCACACTTAAAATTTTAGATGACGTGTCATGTGACGTCCCACATCAATTCAGCGGGAACTTTCCCCGGCTAAATTTAGCGAAATTTTTACGCTAAGTGGGATGGGAACAGGAGAGGAGGATGGAGGGTACGGAGGGGGAGCAGCTGGCATACCCTCCCCTTCGTACCCTTCCTCCCTCCTCCTCAAGAGCTGCCCTCCAATTCGGCATTACAGAGAATTGTAAAAGTCTAATTTTTTAACGTGTCTTTATTAAGGGGTATCGGTGGTCGAGTGGGCTAGCGCCCACCAGATCGGAGTACGTGGAGAGAAAGCTCTCGCTGGAGAACCCAGTGATCCTGAGCTCAATCCCCAGCCCTGCCCGAAGAACGCACTTCCAATGAAGTGAGTTCGGGGAACACACTACCCTAATCGAGTGGCCGTGACACTACGCTCGCTCCGGTAGACCGAGTGTGTAATCTCAATAGCAGTGTTCAAGGAATAAAAATAATAGAAGGTATTAAAGCTGCGTAAAATTATTATTATTTTGATAGGAATAAAATTAGATTCGCACTTGTTTTCTGTTGGCAGGAAAGTAGTACATTGTAGAAAAACAAGCGCCTAATCTAGTTTCCATCCTCGGCCCCTTCGCGACGGTCAGCGACGGTCAGGAGGCACCTGCAAGACTCAACCAGGAATCTGAAGGTAGCAGGAGAGTCGCGAAAGGCTTGCTTGAAATAGAACTCGCCCAAATGGGGCAAGGAGCCTTCGAACCACCGTTCGTTCCTCCGGAAAGTCCACCGTTCTCGACTGATCACGGGTAGGTTGTCGGTCACGAGAGCGGCTATGGTGAAGGTATTGGTCTGCAGCTGCTGGTCGATGCCCTTGAAATTCTTGCCTGTGCGTCGGCATCCAGGTCCAGCTGCCTCTCATCTGAAAGGCGTTCGGCTCTCACGGAGAAAAGTGCATCAAACACGCGCTTTCACTGTCCAACATCGCGGATATCGGTCTCTAGCTCGTCCTCCACACACCCCATGATGTTTCGTTGTGGCGAGTGGCGAGTGGCCGAGTGGGCTCGCGCACAGCAGCTCGGAGCACGCGGGGCGAAAGCTCGCGCTGCAGAACACAGGAATCCTGGATTCAAACCCTACTTCCGGCGTGCGAACGTGTATTACTGGCTTGTAATGGCTGATCGTAATGATCAAATTAGATTTAAATTTGGAATAAAGCTCGTGACTTAGCGCAACAGTGTGTGGTAACGTGTTTATAAGACGGTGAAGTTATTTATGAAAAAATGCGTATGCACTGTAATATTTTGCGAGCCCATTACTTACCCATAGTTATTGCCATCATTTTGGAGTGACACTAAGTTTTCCCGTGTAGCACCAACACACTTGGAGTGTGTTTCGACGGGCTGAAGTGCACTCGCTTGTAGTGACACTAAACTAGCCCGTCTGACAGGGGTATAAGACTAAAGGCTGGATCATACATGTGCGCTTGGGTGTGATCTAGCGCATTATGACTGCTAACCACTGCTTTCGACGACATGGTTGCAACGGAAAGCGAGATCCGTGCAGAACATCGCGATGAGTCGTAGTGCAGCAAAACTCGTCGCATTTACGAATGTACGTGACCTTGACGTCCACGTCCGGGTGTGTTCGACACTTTGAAACAAACAAGTTACAACCCACCTTGCCAGACAAGAGTTACAAATGCGAAAATCGTCAGCGTAAGATTCAGTGAGACCGAACCTGTTTTACCGCTCACGCTAGACGCAGACAGGGGAAAACAAAATTCAGAAATAAACAATTTTCAACTTGTCTTTCGTGCCCTTGAGTTTTCCAGAGCTTCTGGAAGTTCGGTTATAAATTTTTCTTCTCTTTCCATGCGTAAAACACGATTCACCGACCGCTTGGTTACGTCACGGGAAAGTGGTGATTTCGTTTTATTTATTTATTTATTTATTGCGTTCACATACTACTAGTCCTGTGTTTAGGACTCCTATAGGAGTGGGAAAAAATACTTCAAACAAAAATATGCAGGGGTCAAGCAACAGTCACTTGCATTTCGTACATACACATCTAAATTTCAGGAAGCGCGCTCAATGTATAAAAAAAGTTCCTCAGGTCGGCTGCAAGACACGAGGGTTTCGGGCAGTGCATTCCACACCTAAAATGTGTTAATATGCTTCGAAATTATGTGATCAAGAAGCTTGCAGCAGCTTGAGGTTAGTGAAATCGGCCGATAGTTCGATACATCGAACGCATCACCTGATTTAGGATTGGAATAACTTGTCATTTTCCAATCGTCTGGAATAGAAGCAGAAAGCAATGATGCCTGAAAAATAATGAAGAGATATTTGGCAGACGATTCAGCGTATCTCTTCGAAAATGAGTTTGGGACTTCGTCAGGTTCTTCTGACTTGGAAGGGTCAGTGATAAGTACTGGCGAAAAAATTCCTTCATAAGACAAGGGTACATCATCGACCGCTGGAGTATCAGAGTGTTCATTGAACACTGGTGGCACACCATCATCGCTCAAAAATACCATAAAAAATGATTAAACGTGGTGGCTATATCAACTTTTTCAACTATTGGCTCACCATCATTAACCAATTTGGAAATGTCATTCGTCCTACGTGAAAGATACCGCCAAAATGTCTGGGAGCAGTCAGTAGAAAACTAGACATTGTGATGTTATAGAATTTGTGTTTAGTCTCTTTTTATGGCAATTTTTTAGGTGTGCCCTCAGAATTCTAATAGTTTCACGCATGCCTTGCCTCTGAGTTTTGCGGAGGTTTGCTCTACATCTAGAGATTTTTCGCTTTTGATGGACTATATTTTTCGTAATCCAGGGGGTGTTGTTATGCCTCTTTTTGTTTTGGTGGGAATGTACTGGTGAATGCATTCGATCAATATTTCCTTAAATTTCAGCCACAGAATGCTAACATCGTTTGTTGGGTCAAGGCTCAATTGCCTAAAACAGGGATAACAAGATTCCAGTTTGTCTAAACGCGAACGTCATCTGCAGGATCAAAATCTTTGTATGTTGTCACATCGCTACGCGCGCTAGGTTGCTCACCAAGCGATAAGGACAGTAAAACCATGAAGTGATCGGAAATGCCTAGTAATTCCCAGTAGTCGTACGGGCACAAAGTAACACTTTCAGTTAGAAAGAACTGAGCAGGAACAGATTTGCATTCACCCTGCGCTCGTGTGTACAATTTCACTATCTGAGTTGAACCGTGCGAAAAGGTCATATCAATCAAAGTGGAACAAAGAGTTGCGTCTTGGTTTCCCGGAGAATATAACATTACAGGTATTTACACGCGTTTTAACTAAAAATTCGATGCTTATATACGGCGGCATTCATTCTTCTTTATTCGGGCTTCTCTCGCTCCAGCGCTCCTATTGGCTACAGCGGCAGTGACGTAATGGTGCGAGCACGCTCAAATATGTATATGCGACAAGATGTTTTTCTCGACTCGCATCTTTCATACGTAGTCCACAAAGAGTGACCTCGCCGCCACAGGTCGCCTTTTCCTGTTGCACTCTGCTTGCTTGCAGCGCAGGTTCGATCTTTTTTGCGGGTAATTGCGATCCCACTGTGTCCTCGAGCAATATTGGCGACCGAGCAATGTGCACTTTCACCAAAAAAGTCGATGTGGATTCGACCAAGACAACTCCGATGATAGCAAACGTGAGGTGCAACTGCCTTGACAGCCTGTGCAGCACACCGGGAAACTTCCGGTGCCAGGAAGTTTCAGAGACTATCAAATGTCGCCTACGTCAGCGAAATGTCATCGGTGGTGAAGCGAGAAAGCAAGGAGGTGACCGTGGCCTGCGTCTATGCTATCTTCCGGAGTGTGCGTGTGGTCAAAACGCTCAGAAGGTGTTACAAAGGGCGAAGGCTGCGGCAGAGAGCACACGAGCCCTGGACTAAGGGCCCCACATAGACCAAAAGGCCCTTGCAATCAATACAGTTTACTCCTCCTCGTCCGGGCTGTATTTTGGAACCGCCACTTTCTTGGCACAGTAACAATGTCAGATGCGACGCTACCAGCGGACCAAAAGGTGTTGGATTTAATGTCGCGGTGTTAATGTCTACAAACGTTAAACGATAGATATCCGTGCAAATTTTGTTTTCGTAGGAGAAATGATTATTACCGATAGGAAAACGCATTTGTTCTTTGTCAGTGGTACGCTATACTTTGTCTCATCCTACGATGGACTAAAGGCCAAAGCCACGGGCCGCCAGGTCCAATCACGTTCCACGCAATACTATGACACGCTTAACATTAATTAGGGGTGGACGAATGATGCTCGAGTCCAAAAAGCGCCGCATCATTTCTAAAGAGCTTCGACGCCACAAAGAGCCTATATGTCGTGGCTTTATTTGAGATGTAAAATTGTTGAATCACTCAATGCTCTTCGATTCAAACCACTGTTCACCCGTCCCCTCATCAGTGATCCGAGACGCGGGCACCGATACGGTCATAGAAGCGAAATACCGCTCAATTTCTAAGTGGATCGTGATTTGATCTGGCGGTCCGTGGCTTTGGCCTTTAGTCCATCGTAGGGTGGCACGAAGTATAGAAGTATCTGGAGTATGTAAACAATAGCGGGTGGGCCTAGCCTCTTTCGACTGGAGGATATGGCGCCAGATGGTGGGGATTTGGAGAAACTATATTTTGGCGGACTAATCGCGTAAATGGGGCACAAGTGCGGCAAAACCGCGGAATTGGAAAACGCATCGACAAATTATTCTTGGCGGGCGCTACCGTTTTTGAGGTGTTTATTATAACGTTAATATTCAACATATTTATATATATCAAATCATAAACTGTTACTCTATATGCGAAAATTCTTTCTAGTCTGTTACAGTAGGCTAGACCAGTTTCAGTTTTGCAACTTCATTGCTGCACATGTATATGCATACATCATCTTTTCACGTCATTCGCTCGAGCCTCTATCGGAAGAGACTGCAATGGCATCGTTAGTATGTGCGTTTTTTTTTTTCTTTTGTTGTCGCTGTATTTTTCTTTGTATTTTGCGTCAGTTTTGGAAGCAGGTGTGCTTTCCATTTTTTCGCAACGTTTACTGGCGATGGCGTTGGCTCACTTTGACAGTGTGTTGCATTCACTGTTCGCATGATCTTCGTCTCTTGAGACCAAGCACTGAGAACGCTTGCACTCACACAGACTGAGAAGCTCCTTAGCGAGTGTGCAGCATGCATGTACAAAGAGGTGTCACACATCAGCTTGCCCCAAGACAACAGCGCACTATAAACGCCCTTAAGGTTTGCTAATACGTCGTACAAAAGACAGTGCGCGGACACTGTCTGAGAAGTGTATGACTTAGGCTAGGTGTCGCAAGCTACCTCTCGTTACAAAGGATATATGCCATTAACATCCATCTATAAATGCGATGGTCCTGTCACATTGGTCATCCATACAAACACTGTCTGCAGATATGTTTAAGGCGTGCATATGTATAAATCAAATATGCTTCAAATATGCTCTGATGCGCGTTCGCGCAAAATGTTTACCATGTCTGCAGGAAACACCGAGTACTGCGTCTTTAGGAATGCTGGTTGAAGAAAGTGCAAAATTAAGGGTGTAAAATATCTTAACGTGTAGTTCCAAAATGTGAGTTTCATATTATTTTATAATGACAGTTCTTTTTTTTAAGTTGAATTTAAACACAGAGCCTGATGTACTAAGTTCTGTTCACGCTGCATGCTTCTATCGCGCTATGTATATGGGAACCTACCTATTCGACTAAAATTAAGACTAACAATATTCAGAGTTTCAGTTTTTGTTTTATTATCATTCGGCTCTTTTCATCGACCTGAAGCGTTGTTGGTGAAGCCGTTGTTACGACGATCTGCCACGTTCCGCGTCCCTCTCTCTGGTGTGAGTTCGCGAATTCTCCGATTCTGCGTTTTCGGCATGTGGGAAGAAAGAATGCATTCGTCGCCACACCTTCCGCAGAACTTACTAAGGTCCCAGCTAAGACTGGACTTAGGGTTACACAAGGGCCAAGTAGGACGACCGTCTAAGTGTCACTCTGACCTGAAATATTTATGTATGAGGGCCGTGTAAGTGCTTTCTCCGCTGTCACCTTTGGTCCGCCTCAAGAGTTCATGGTACCCGGTGGTCACATCTCTCGTTGTAGGGGCCTGGAGATAGCATTAGAGCGGAACATAATGATATCACGAGTGGCGTATTCTATTGGACAGCATCGAAGGTATGTTTTTTTTCTAAAGACGCGAAAGCTCTTATATTGCACCGATATGACAGCCGAATTCACTCGATTCTAGAACGGTCCGTTCTGGTCGCAGCGAATCTTGCTGTAGGTGAGCCTGTGAAACGGCGTCCCATCCCGGCAGGCAAAGCCGTTCAACATCGAGTTATACCCTCGGCTCGTCCTCAGAGGTACCAGCCAGCGGAAAGAGCAGCCGTGGCACGACAGAGGATTATCTGAAACATCGGTGAAAATACAACATCACATGTTTTGGCGGGGTTGACTGATCATGTATAATTAAAGATTTTGTGTCCGGTGTTTAATTTTTTTTTTTTTAATTTAGATGTGCTATAGATTTTGTTTTTCGATATTAATTTTGGGTGTCATAAAAACAAAATGGGGTTTATTGGGGCTCATGTTTGAAGAAAATGAGCATAGGATTTTCCAAACTCGAGGGAACATATGCCTGTGACTCGAATACTTTCAAATCGCCCCGGTATCAATCAGATATAAAATGAGATAATTGTACGTTATTCTGAAGACCAAAAAGCAACCACGAGAACAGTTCAGTGCAGACTATTTTCTCGGTCAACACAAACAAAAAACAAATGCAGTTAAAGTTGTTTTTTTTTTGTTTTTTTTTTCATCGAATTACAATTTTTGTTCGAGATTTCGGATTTCCATGATTTTGATAGAGCCCGCTAGAGAGGTTCGTTCTCGGGGTTTATCAGTAAATACTGAAAACGCGTAACCCTATGTTTATTTATTTATCCTGGGGTCATAAGAAAATTCGTTAGCTTACTCGTAAATGAAGCAAACCAACGCGCCCCCCCCCCCCCGCCCCCCCCCCCCCCCCCCCTATTACGTTTTTACTCATCTCTACAATATACACACCAACCAGCGGCTCAGACGTCGTGCCTCTCCGGAGGCACAGCTGTCAGCGTGGAGCTGACACTTCACTTAACACTAATTTTCTACCTTTGCAAGCGCAGAGACCACACTGGGCGCAGGCAAACGAAGGGTTGTTTGTTGTTTGTAAACGGTCTGTAAATGGATACATTTCGGTGAAAATCTTGCTTGATTTCAAGCGTATACCTTCAAAGCAAGCAAGGCTATGTTGTGAACGTTCATACGAAGTCGCAATGACCCACAAATGTCCTCTCGATGTCCACAGGAACATCTGTGGTGGCAGGGTAAGTGCCCCGAAGGTTCTACTCTTTTTACCGTTGATTGAGCATGGTTCAACTTACTTCCTAGCCCGATCATGGGCACTTCACCGAACTTCCTGGGACTGCGCAGCATCCTATAAAGCAATGGCCTAAACACGTCTTCGGAAAGCGTGGTCAGGTTGTTGCCGCTGAGATCCAGGCGTTGAGGTGCAGTCCCGGCGAACGCCGTTCGGCTTATCGACGAAATCAAGCTGTCGGCTAAGTTGATCTATAAGACAAAACAAATGTTCTCAACGGCTTGTGATAAAACGTATGTTTCATAATTTTAATAAAATTAGCTGTTCGGCTATACACATAACGAAAATAAAAAACAAAACAAAAAAAAACATGCAAAGGCCAAGGTCAAGTGGTAGAACAGGACAGGTCAAAATTAATTAGTCGGTAGTTGTTTAGAGAGCAGGAGGTTTCTGCCAGAACATGGCAACATCGTTATCCGCTGTAGACGAGACATTTAGCTAGTGTAGTACAACTGCTAGCCTGAGGTCTTTAACGGGCATCACGTAGTAGTGAGAACTGGACAAGCGGTCACTATCAATTGACGTTTCAATGTATTAGTAGTGAAAGACAAGCAGGAAGTGAGGGATGTGATAATTAAACAGAGAAAAACAGATAATAATCATTTAAAATAAAGTGTGAAACGGAAAGTGTTCGCAAATTTCATAAATGAAATAGAACATGAATGCTTAAAAAAAAAATTCTTAAAACAATCTCCAAGAAATATTTTTATGGAAGTAGTTGAGGTAGTTCATTTCTTTCTCATATAGCCCTATATACGGTGCACTAATGCATGTATCCCCTTTGAGTTTGATGATTAGAGGCTCATAAATCGCTCTTGTGTTCCGGTAATAGTATCGCTTGAGGACTTGTAGTCTGTTTAAACGCTGCGGTGCATTCGCAGTCTCTGACGTGTATAGACAGGTGTCCAGCGGCTGTCTACCTGAGTGAAAGGGTGTGCTCCAGCAGTCTCACATTCACACACCCGGCAGTTTGGCCCACATACACTCTGCCACAGGTGAATGGTATCTCATTTGCGTCACCTACTCTGCATTTGACACATTTGTATTCATGTACCGTGCATTGGTCAGTTCACTATTTCTGGGAGTTGATTTTAGGGCAAAGCAATTTAAGATTGTCCGGTGCAGAGTGTACTACTTGGATGGCAAACTTGTTAGCTACCCTTTTCAAGTGGTATGATATTTTGTGGGTGTAGGCATTAACTAATGCATTGAAACGTCAGTTGATAGTAAGCGCATAATCCGGTCATGTTCCACCACTTGTCGCCTTCGTACTTTTTGAGTTTTCATCGTAATTTTAGTAGGTGAGAATGAAAGAATGCACCACTTATTACACACATTTCATAGGAAGATTCAGCTATCCCGTCAGAAAACTACTCGCTCTAAGAAGTTTTGTCTTAATTATTATCTAGGCAAGCAAAGGGTTACAACAATGAACATATATTGCAACATATGCTGCTTTGTTTCTATGTTGTTTTGATAGATTGCTGTTTTGTTATGTGCAGTTTTGCTTCCTTTTTTTTCATGGGACCGTTTACATTGTGCGTTTTTTATGCTCTTTTTATTTGCCGTGAAATTTTCTACTAGCCTGCTCCTCTGTTGCGTTTCAATATGAGCAAAACTTGGAAATTAACAATGAAAAATTACAAAGAATGCGACGTCTCTTTTTTTTTTTTTAAGCGCAAAGTGAGTCTAAAAGAAGAAACCTGCAATTAATCGCCCGGAAAAAATACTTATAAGATACAGCGTGCTCTTTACTGTTTGTCGTTACAAGAACCGGAGACTATACAAAAACAAATCAGAAATAGTGTCAACACACTCAGTGTGTTGTCCCCCTTCTTTAGTTTTTATAGTCGCGAGTTTACTTGTAAAAATCAATTACCTATTTCTACTTTTTTTTCTTCCTGTTTTCTAATAATAAATTTTAAAACGAAAGTCCCAGAAATACATCCGGCAACTGTTTGTGTCCGTATTTAAAAATCAAATATTGGAGCCAACTCCTTTTTAATAACAATTTAGGGTTCCGAGAGCCATAAAAAAGTTAAATCATGACCGAACTTGATATTCTATGGCCAGCGTCTGGGTGTCTTGTTCCTAAATTCCCAAACAAGTGCAAAACAGCCAGGCTTCACTGCATGATTGTTTGATTGACACGTTAGTTTTTTGTTTTTTTTTACTTAGACATACGACCTTTACGTATGGTTGTTCGGTTTTCACCTGGCAACTTTGGGCCAAAATGGCCAAACATGCGCAAGAACTAGGCTTCACTGGTGTTTGTCCGGTTGATCAGTGGCATTTCTCGTTGAAGTCTGGCACTTTGGCAATTATGTAAAGGGCCAGAGAAATGACATAGAAAACGCGCTTTGGCACCCCTCCCCCCCTAACGCCTTGGAGCAAAACCTTATTAGGTTCAAGTTTGGTCCCCCGGACTGCCAAATATGGGTTAAGTTAAGCGTTTCTCTGACGCGCTGCCTGGATATATATGGACTAAAAAATATATGTTCTTAGTCACTATAGAAAGACCCTTGTAATCAGGTATTGACTATTCTTTTACCGTGAGCCCTGGCTGGATGCTGAGTATCTTCATGGAATTGTCCCCAAGGGTCGTCAGCCTTGTGCCACTCAAAAATAATTCTTTTAATTCTCGCAGGCCTGCAAATGCCTTGGCACCTACAGATACGATTGGGTTTTCAGAAAGCACCAGCGCTTCGAGTGTCGGGTGGCTGAAAGCCTGCGCTGGAATCGTCCGCAAGTTGTTCTTTCCGAGGTTGAGGGTGAGGAGTTTCGGAAAAGAGCTGATCCTGTACATAAAAAACAAGGCGAATTAAATTCGTGTAATCTATACTTCGTTTCAAAACAAATGCCCGTTCACAAAACTTGCATTTGCTAACGACCGAGCTCTTGTGATCTCTTATGACTAGGGAACACGCTCAGAGCCATTTATATATATATATATATACTGACAGAGTTTGGTCAATGGGCGGAGCTTGTTGCTTGCTAGAACCAGCGTATTTCGCAATAACTCAAAGTGGCGTTACTTCTTTTTCTCCTTTATTCCTGAGAAATCGCATAAAATTCCTGTGAGTCAGAGCCCCAAAATGGCGAACGGAAGTGGTCATCTCCCGGTTGTCATACCACGTTGCTGTGGTTTCGAGACTGTCAAAATCTCCTTAAGAAGGCCAAACTCTCAGTATAAACGACTGTGAATACACTGGTTCGCTGCCGCCATCTATCAGGTGACCTTAGAACTGCGTTTCCTCAAAGCGAAGGTTTTGCGCTATTTACGAGATAAAATTTACGCTACTATTTAAAAGGAAGGGTAATTAATAAAAGAAAGGGTAATTAATAACGTTGTTAGCAGTTTTTTCAAGCCAAAAAGAGAGTGATGCGCAAAGAAATTCTAAATTTACTAAAATATCAAGTGTTCCACGGCATTTCCCTAAAAATAAAGTGGATGAGATCAAAAAGGAGAACCTCTTTACGGGAGTCAAAGAAAGAATAAAAACACTTAAGGACAAGGACAGACAGCACAGTTTTTTCAGAACTGTGCTGTCTGTCCTTGTCCTTAAGTGTTTTTATTCTTTCTTTGACTCCCGTATTTTCACCAACACGCTCTTTCATCTTTGCCTCTTTACGGAAACAAAGTTCCATCCGCGGTGGACTTTATTGATTTAAAATGTAATAATTACCTCAGTGATTAACAAAAAGGTACAATTAACTTTTTAGTCGGTAAAATAAATATATGGTTTCAATTAGAGACTTGCTGAGCATCATCGAAAACCTTTAAATCAGCTCATTTTAGAAAGAGGTGAAGCACGTACAACATTTTACGGCGTTCCAAAAAAAAAAAGGCTAAACTTTGGACGCGTTTTTAGTTTTTTTGTTTCTACCGGATCGTACGTTTGCGTCAGCGACCCAGCTACCACTTCGCCTCCCTCGTAGGATGGAAAGACGAGGAGGCAGAACCGATGGCTCAAAGAAGCGTTCCGGTAGGAAACAGAAACCTAAAAACGCGTTTAAATTTAGCTTTTTTTTTTTTTGAACGCTTTATATGTATATTCTTTTTTTAAATAGGTTGATGTAGTGCTTTTCTATGATGCTAAGCAAGTTTCTAAATGAAAGCATGCGATAATATATCTAATTAAAAAGTTAGTAAATGTTAGTTAGTTATTAGGCTAATTTGTATGTTTTATTTATTCCTTGACGTCCACTGTAGCTGGAAGTTTGTACCCGTATAATAGTTTCTTTTTTTTCCTCAATCACCCCGTTTTTCAAGATTTTCTGAAGTTTTCGCTAAAACAACCGCTATACAACCGGTATATAAGACACACAAATCATCGTGACTTACCCCTTAAAGTCGAAGGACGACAAAGCGTTTTTGAACAAACTTATCGACACGAGGAATTTCTTCGTGTTATTCAGGGAGCCCAGATCAAACGCCGTTAAGTTTGCATTAATCTCGACGTGTACGTGGCGGAATTTAAAGTCTCCGAGGACACCGGCGGGAAACGACTGAATCGGAGTCTTCTGAATCCAGAGGGACTCGTGCTCGTTGGCGCCTGTTGCTCGGAAAGCCTTTCTAAGCTCTTGGGTGGAATTGGCCTTCATGCAGTTGATGCCTTCGTGGTCGCAGGTGCATGGACGGAGTGCTGCGCCGTCTGGACAGTGGGCGGCTTCCGATGCAGCGAGCAAAATGTTCCAGCAGAGTAGAAGAGCCACCAAGCGTGAAATCCCTGCGTTCGTTGCGTAAATGTGTTAAAAATTTGCAGAAACCCCAATTTCCAAAGTCACATACTGCAGGAAATGCGGTATTTAACGAGCAGTCATTTAAATTTGTTTAGAATACTTGAGACAGTCCTTTCGGGGATTGATGAAGAGCGTTACGAAAACGAAAGGGGAATACGCCAGGCAATGACGGCGAAAGTGTCGTCCGTATGGTTGTTCATGCCATTTCTTTTTCATGTCCTAGTTCAGTCACCAACACCCCCCCCCCTCCCCCCCCCCCCCCAAAGAACGTATTGTATATTACTCCATCTCGCGTGACCTAGGGTCACTGTTTCACTTCCTATTGTCGCGTCACGTAAAATTCCCCGCTAAGTGTTGAGCGGAAACGCGTCCCGCGTGAGCGACAACGCGTGAAGCGATCTGAATCGTTGTACTATAATACCAATTAAATTTCCCCGCTGTATTTAGCGGCAAAATGTATGCACTGGCGGAGAATTTTTAGTGTGTAGGGGGTTCTGCTATAAAGAATCTTATGCATGAATACACACCCGGGCTCTTAGAAAAGCATGAAGCATGTACATCATTATATACCTTAACTACTAAGAAAATTTTATAAATCACCTGCACCATTGCAGATTCACGCTTCAGTAGGACTGAACGAATAGAACAAAGCCACTTAAAAAAGTGTGCTGTTTATCAATTAAAATTTTGTCCCGCATCAATGTACAGAAAACAGCAAGAAAAGGTTATCACCGTGATCATATGTCCACTTCTTAATCTGAACAGATGCGTTTCAGGCACACGGTGAACTGCCAAGGTGCTAACTCCCACGTTTCTAACAACTCTGGTGCAAGTCAGAGCTGAGACAAACAAATGAGATAATCAATCCTTGATATCCTACAGTGCTGGAATATGTCCGAAATAAAATATTTTAACTTAAATTGTGACAAGAACTTTTTTATTATTATTGTTGGAGAAGCTCGCATTTTGAACTACGAAATGCGAAAGAAACATTTGGCGACCAAAACTGGGTCGCACGAATAGGCCTCTAAACACGTTATAGTGAGATTTTTTTGCATACAAGCTCGTATTCTAGAAAATTATAAGGACCGTCCTAAAAATATTTAAAAATATATAAAGCATAGAGATTGCGTTTAAAATTAGAGGAGCCACAACTATCGCTGAGAAAGTGTATAGATTACAAATTATTAAATTTAAGCGCTCGCTCATCTAGATAAAATAACCATTCGGCACATTTAATTTAAAACACCACAGCAAGATCACTGTTTTAGACGTGTTTACAGCCATTGCCATAGGCGTGCAAGGATATGGGCATAAACTGATGTTCTTGAACTCTGAGCCCTGCATGTTAGATATGTTAAAAACAACAATGATAGAAGCTGTGGCGAAGACATAAGCTTTACATGTGGAAGCTTTTCGCTAACATAACCTGCACGCGTAAAACCTTACTTTCGTTCATATAACCGGTGAATACCGATGGTGCTAAGTATGTTGTAGGAACATGTGTCCATCCTTAACTATAAGCTAAATATTTCTTTTGTCACTTAAGCAGTTAGTTCAACAAACCATGCAAACAGAAGATGTGAGCTATGATTTCAGCTGGAAGCCCATTAGAGTGTCGAAATTCTTGCCGTGTTTTTGCTTACAACGCAAACATTCTTCCAAACCTTTTACCTGAGGGTTCGGCTCTCGTTTGCTAGCTTTCGAAAGTTTTTTTTGTTTTTTTTTAAGTTAATTTTTTGGCGTAGTTAATGTTCTGTGTTGCTTGAACTTACAATTATGATAGAGAGTGCGCACTAATTCTCCATTCCATTTGGTTTTCATTAACTATATTACGAACAATTCAAATTGGCGATAACATAATTAGTGCCGTCAGAAATTACTTTAACAATCTTTTAGATGCATATTTGAAAATTGCTGCTCCGAGAATTTGCGTAATTGAAAACCGCGAGAGGTCTTAGAGTATTGTCAAACGAGGCGTGGTACGGCGACGAACAACCCAAGGTATGCAAAACCTTTACCTACCCATGGCGGTGCTTTCGGACAGATCAGCGACTGGGGTGCTGGGGAAAGATTTCCCTCATTTTTATAGATAGTGGATCAAGTCAGGTGTTTCTGTCAGATGTGCTGCTGAGTCAATACCTTCTGCACAATGAGGGGCGGAAAGATTACTGGAATCTTTCGTGTTTGCTGAGATAGCGCTTCACGGGATAAGATATTGCGCGGTTCTCAGCCGTGTACATACACTTTCGGCCTTATCCGCGATAATTTCATCAGGTCAGGCAAGAAAGTAAAAGTCGATATGATTATAATGCAATTAATTGCAAAGGTGCAAAAGACAAATTTGGGAGTTTTACGTGCCAAACCTACGACGGGCATCTGGCACGCCCCAGCGAAGGACTGAGGATTAATTTCGACCACCTGGGGATCTTTTGACGTGCAACCGAAAGCTCGGTTACACGGCGCCTTATCCGCAATAAGCCTCCGTCATATTGCGGGCACCTCGGTCGGGATTCGAACCCGCCACCTGGGGATCCGCAAGCCGGCGCTCTCGCCTCTCAGCCATGCAAAGGTGCAAGCGAGCTGGACAAGAATGATGAAAATAATCCCTGGAGAAGGGGAACAAGAGGACAAAGGACAAACACAAATCTCGAAACACAGCTAGGTGACTGGTGCGCTACCGAAAAAATCCGCCTGGTCCGGGCTAGTTCTTTATCTTCTGGGAAGAAAATTTACCAGTAGCATAGGCAGGCATTTATCTTCTTTTTTTTTATGAAAAGATTGGGGGATGCATGTGTAGATTATAGGGTCGGCTAGAGTTTGGGGGAGGCAACCCCCCCCCCCCCCCCCCCCCTTCCTGGCTACGCAAACGCTCTTTACGCGGAAAGCTTTGGAATTTTTATATACCCAAGGCTAGAGCTAACTGCAAACACGAGTTTTAACACGTTTCATGTATAATTACTTGAAATGGTTTCGTTTATTCTTTAATTTGCCGGAACGTCTGCTTATAGTTTGCCAGGTTATCGGAACATGGGATGAGAAGCAAGGAAGCAATTTCGATGTTATTGCAACATGGGCAAACTTTTTGTTATGGGAGACATTATGATAACCTACTTACTGAATCATGCTATCAGAAACAATATTCCCAGTATTGCACGACATGAACAAACTTAATCGTGTCATAAGTATAATTAACTTTCTGAGCTAATAAAACACTTGAAAGAACGAGTTTGAAGCACCTCGTAACGCTGTATTCCTACTGATGGCCCAACAGCAGCTGCGAACACGGTTGCTTAAATTAAGAAGCCGAACGAATTCGCTTCGCGGCTGCGATTCGAACTCGCATTCGAATCGCAACCACGAAGCGGACCCTCTCATTTTCATCATCAAACGCGCGTAAAATTGTAACCGCTTTGAAGACGCGGTTCTACAGCCAGTGGGTATACGACGCCAGGGCGCCCTCTTTACAGGTTGCGAACGCAACTTGTGAATGATAACTTCAATCGTACAACAATCATTCCAAAATAGTAAAGAGAATGATGGCGGAGGCTATAGCCACTTATTAAAATCAATTTCGCTCTTGTGCAGTCTTACTTAGTCTGGTGTCCGCTAAGAAAGAGGGGAGTAATTTAGTTGTTTATGTTGTTTTCGCACCAACTACTCAACAGAGTCGTAATAAGCAACCTATGGTGGCACTGACTTTTACTCTCGTTTATCGAGGCCTTGGACTTCTTTTTTATGTCAGACCAATGACAATAATAATAATAATTGTTTATTTCTACCAGCATAGAAAAGTTTGGTATTGCGGATGCATCAAAGCCAACACGTGGCTTGTGCGACGCCATTCTCCAATAAAAAAAAACGATATGTAGCATGGGTAGTTACTGAAAATACAATAATATAAAGCAGACAAAAAAATGTAAACATAATTCCATGAAGTTAGTCACGCTAGTTATAACTTGAAGATTTTACGCGAAAAGATATTATGTACAGACTAAAACGGAAATCAATAGCAATGTCACAGCAAAATGAAATACCACAAAACTGGAAAATATGCGAAAAACAAAATTCACGGAAGGTCTTCTGTTAAAATGTCCTACACACAGCAGAATATTCATTAATGTTCCAGAAAGGCAGGTGCTTAAAATTGGCACACATTACTAACCAAAATGAGTCTGCGATATTTCGCTACTAAAACGAAACCAATAGTTCGCTATTAAAACGAAATATCTCTAAGCATCTTTTTTAACTTTGCTCAGGGATGTTTGGTTTAGAAGTTCAGGTGGTAAGTGAGAAAAAATATATGGCACATAAAACGCACGCGTACTTTCGCCATAACGAGTGCGGGAAAAAGATATGGTGAAAAGGGTGAGTATGTCGAAGATCACGTGTGGGTGGGCTTAAGATTTTGAAATCAGAATTCCAAAAGTGCCGCAATACCACTGAATGAACATAAAGGGTTTGGAAGTTGGGTAGTTGCAAATATTCGAAAAGATTAGCGCTGTCAGGTATTTTAAGTTTATAAGAGATACTTTTCAGGATAGCTTTCAGGATGCAGTCCACCTTGGTTTTCCAATAGTCACAAGAATGGCCGAAAACGGTGATGGAGTAGCGAAGGACGCTATATGCAAGCGAATGGGAAATCATTCTTCGAACAGTATTAAACCTTGACGTTTCTTAGGCTTGCTCTATATCGACGAAGTAAACGACTTATCTCATTCCCGAAAGCAGTTGGGAGACAAATCATACGATTCTCACGCTCAATTTGTTTGAGCATTTTTGGTTTCAGGACCGCTATTCTGGCGAAATGGTTTTTTTTGCATACTTCTACTTGTAACATAAAGTCTGCATTCCAGTTGGTACTGAGCGCACGAATATTAACCTTATTATTATTATTGTAAATGCCGAGACAATGAGTTCGGAAGTGAAACACACTATAAACGTTGTTCAGACCTAGATTTAAACGCAAAATACTACCACTAACGTTAAACATTGCGTACACCAAAAAAATAACTGTGTGAAAAAACAGAAAATGCTTGACAGCTCTTTTGCCACAAATTATCTGTTCTCGTCTGTTTCTTTGTTTCCATAATTTTGGCCGGTTCTCCTTCTTTCTGTACAATAACGAAATTCATGTTGCCCAGCCTCGCCAAAAAACCCTTTATGTTCTTAGAAATAGCAGTTTTCACAAAAAAAGCGGGTTTCTGTTCTAGAACTTGTAAAACCCAGTTTCTGTTTTTAGAAACAACGGAGTTTTTGAAAAAAGAAAAAAAGGGGTTTTGCTCTGGAAGTGTCTGAAAAACAGTCTCGGTTTGTCCAGGTTGCCAGAAAGGTTTTACAGCGCACTGTGTCGTTTGTGTTTACCTCGCCCTTGAAGCGCTAAATACACAAAAAAGCGGGAGAATACGATACGATGACCTCATATATACAAACAGAAGACACAAATAACACCAACACAAGAGCTAAACCATTCACGGAACCTCCAATACGGAATATTACGTTCATCTGATCGCTATTGGGTAGGAGATCAAACAATAGGGGACGCTCTGACCCGTATGTTTCCCCACACCTCGGCGTTTACTCAACACAAGGCCTGTGCACATGCCGACGGGCTTTATGGGCATGTCCATGTCATCTTCTAAAATAGAGCGCGGGGCACAGTGTAATGCAAAAAAATACTAACAATCGACGAAGTGACGGTAGGTGCCGGATCTCTCCCGAAAGCAGTCGTCCGAGAATGCGAGCTTGACCCACTAAAGCGCGATCCAAACCAACGCTTCTTTTTGCGCCTGTAGGTCGTGCGGCTGCGGATGTGACGCATTTCGTGGCGTTTTTGCTGTTTCCGGGCGCGCTTTCTGAGTCAGAACCGTGCGCTTTGGTTTGGACGGGCGAAACTTCGGCACGAGCGCACAAGCAAAGTGCAACTGCGCCAGACGGCGAGAGAAAGAGAGAGAGAGAGAGAGATCGCGTTGTCATGTTGGAAGAGAATAAAAAGGGGGGGGGGGGGAGGAGAGGGCAGCCAGACGGCGAGAAACGCGGAGCCGGAACTAGCTTGCCCTCCACCGATTGGCCGGGACACAGGAGCGCCCTACTACGTCACCGCGCGTTTTTGTGCGCGTTGAGAAAGAAGTTGAAATCAACCAACTTTCTTGTGCGCGCCCGGAAGGAGCGAAGAAGCGGCGCGACGTCACGAAAATGCGTCACATCCGCAGCCGCACGACCTACAGGCGCAAAAAGAAGCGTTGGTTTGGATCGCGCTTAAGGCTTTTGTGCCGAGCTGGCACCGTGCATGCTGCATTGTTCATGCAGGCAGGTGTGGTAACAAAGGAGCCCCTCCACTGCCTCACCGGAGAACACGAACTCCAGCCGAACGCTGACGTCGCGTTCGGTTAAGTCCGCCGAGCGCTGAGTCATTGTATTTGTTGTCCCCATTCGTGCAGTTCTAAAGTTAACCACTTGAGGCGTCACGGTCAGTCCTCCTCCCCAATAGGTGAAGTCTTATTTTTAAATTCGACTTGGCCGATGACTGCGACATTTGTCACAAAAACACGCAGAGGCTGACTACATACTACTCCTATTTAGTATTTTTTTTTTTTACATTTTAACAGTCAATAGTTTATATCTCTTAATCCAGCGCCTTCAGAAACGCCGTGGCAGATTAATTAACTAAAATCTATTAATTACCTTTTATAGGAACTTGCTGGTTTATGTTAGTAATAGAGTATTGACGCTGATTCCTATCATAGGCGATAGGATTTATTAGATTTTAGTTAACTATTCAATTAGCACGACGATTAATCCCCTGTTTTAAGGTCCTTCAAGCCCCAAAACACGCAGGGAAGAGATGGAATTCATGTAACCGCCATACTCTTTTGTTATAAAAAAAAAAAAATTCGATTTAAAATTAAGCTGCCCGACTTCGCCGTGGCATGTCGGAACTGTCGCTGTGACTGTACTGTAGATTAACACAGGGCTGCTAAACTTTTATGTTCGAATGGAATGCGAACAGCGGAGCGCGTGGCCGTCGGGACATGCCGTTTAACATGCTGAGCCTATAGACAATTGCAAGCATGGCGCCACAAGTGGTGCCCCATGCGTGCAAGCGCGTGCAACGCGCGGGTGAACGTAGCTTTGGCAAGCTCGTAATCGAGCGG